GGGGGCAGCTCATCAAGTCGAAGGAGCGGAAGGTTTTCCTGCTCAACGACATGCTGGTCTGCGCCAACATCAACTTCAAGTACGTGCTGATGACCCCAGACCCCGAAATCGCTTTGCAAAGTGTCGACGTAGCGACCTTCCCCCTTCTCCACCTCAATTTTTGGGCTTTAGTGTGTTCTGCTAGCTCTTCCCCAAGGACTTTGAAAACCACCTCATCGTGTTTCAGAGGGGGAACCCACCTGGTTTGGGGTTGCTTTGCCCCCCACTTTTGGCGTGCCTCCATGCAAAGCCTCTATCCCCTGGTGCCGTGGGGTCCGGGAGCTTGCTGGGACCTCAGGGCTTGGTGGAGGTCGATGCTGCAGAGGGAAAAACCTTCCTCGAGTTCCTCGTAATACCTCTTGATTAATCATTTTCCTCCTTTTCCAGGCCGGTGAACCCAGGGTAGGTGCTGAGTGTGGTTTGCTGTGGTTGCGTGCCCCACGTTTGGGGGTGCAGGCATGCACCAGTGCACGGTCCGGGAGCTTGCTGGGACCTCAGGGCTTGGTGGAGGTCGATGCTGCAGAGGGAAAAACCTTCCTCGAGTTCCTCGTAATACCTCTTGATTAATCATTTTCCTCCTTTTCCAGGCCGGTGAACCCAGGGTAGGTGCTGAGTGTGGTTTGCTGTGGTTGCGTGCCCCACGTTTGGGGGTGCAGGCATGCACCAGTGCACGGCGTGGTGCTGCAAAGGGGTCTTGGCTTGCAAAATGCATTTTGGAAGGGCTTGCAGGGCGAGCCGCGGTGCCTGCTGATTTATTGATATCTGGTTTTTTTGCATCCTCCCTCGGCAGAGGCCAGCTGGAAATTAGCAGCCTGGTGCCCCTGGGTCCCAAATATGTGGTGAAGTGGAGCACGGCCCTCCCGCAGGTGCAGGTGGTGGAGGTGGGACAGGAGAGCGGTGCCTACGACAAGGACAACGTCGTCATCCACAACGCCGGTGCCAAGAAACACGCGCCGGCCGGGCAGGCTTCGCACAGTGAGCACCCATCCCTCGATCCGGTGTTGGGCTTGTTTCGCTGGGAAAGGAGCATCCTCCCATGGACCTCATTTCTCCATTTCTTCACCCAAGATAAAGTCTACCTGGGGCCACCACGGCTCTTCCAGGAGCTGCAGGACCTGCAGAAGGACCTGGCGGTGGTGGAGCAGATCACCCTTCTCATCAGCACCTTGCATGGCACCTACCAGGTATCTACATGCCAGAGCGTGGTCAAACTCATGATTTGGGTAGCACCAAGCTTGAGTGCTTCGCAATAACCACGCGGTTCCTCAGGGACTGCTGGACCATTTCTCCTCCTGGGTCCCCCAGATGAAATTTGGGGATGATTCAGGCTTGTTTTGGAGGCACTTCCATAAGCGATGACTTTTTCCCCCCAGAACCTGAACATGACGGTGGCCCAGGACTGGTGTTTGGCCCTGCAGAGGATGATGAAGGTGAAGGAGGAGGAGATCCACTCCGCCAACAAGTGCCGCCTCCGTCTCCTGCTCCCCGGGAAGCCGGACAAGTGAGTTTGTGGATCACGGGTGGGCTCTTCCCACCCTGGGAAAGAGGAGAAGGAGGCTGAAGATCGACCTGGTGATGCTTTCCCTATGCAGATCTGGCCGCCCCATCAGCGTCATGGTGGTCTTCATCACTCCAAACCCCCTGAGCAAGATCTCCTGGGTGAACCGCCTGCACTTAGCCAAGATAGGACTGCGTGAGTAGCCCCGCGGCGTATTCCTTGCCATCACTCTGGCTTTGAGAAGCTGAATTTGGGAGCGGGGTGGGGGGGTTTGCATCGCTCCGAGCATCCCGACACGAAACAAGGCAGGGGAAAATATTTGGAGCAAGGTGATGGAGAACATTTTGGACGTTTGCATGCTGGAAATGCCGGGAATAGGTAACTCTGGGTCAAAATATTTTGCATTTTGCTGCTCTCGAGTGGCATCTCTGGATTACCATCACACAGTGATGGATTTCTGTTGGTTGTCATGCCGGTGGTGCTGGGCCTGACCCGTTTT